GACAGTGGCTTTGAACAGGATTACTAACTTGGCTTAAATGATATTAAGCACACCATACTCAATTTTCTAAAATTGACTATAAAGCAAGTGTCAACAAATTACCCACAATTGAAATCACAGAAAGAATGATCTTAGACCACAGTAGTATTAAATTGGATATCAATAAGAAAAATATAGTGAGGAAATCCACAAATGCTTAGGTATTATAAAATATATTTCTAAATAACCCATGGATCAAAGAAGAAACCACAATGGAATTAAAAAAAATTTTGCACTGAGTGATAAAAATATGGTCTATCAGACTTGTGAGATCCAGCTGAAGTTGCATTTATAGGGAAATTTCAGACTTAAATGCATACACTAAAAGAAGAAGACTGATCATTAATGATTTAAGTATTCATCTCAAGAAACTTGAAAAGAACAGCAAACTTTAAAAATAGAAGGAAAGAATTAAAAGTAAAAGCAGAACCCAACAGAAAATTAAAAAAAAAAATTTAAATCTGAAAGTTGGCTCTTTGAAAACTGATTGAGATAAAGAGGAAGAACAAATAACCAACAATCAGATTTTTAAAAGCAGATATTGTTATTGATACTATAACAGCAAACAAATAATAAAAGGATTTTGTGAAAAATTTTAAGCAAAAGTGAAAACTTTACATCAAATGGACAAATCCCTTGAAGTCAAAACTGACAATTAAGTAATAGAAAATGTGAATAGTCCTGTATGTATTGAAGAAACAGAATCAATAATTCCCCCAAGAAAACTCTAGATGGCTTCACCAGCAAATTCTTCCAAAAACACTTATAGATAAAATAAAAATCGATCTTCACAAACTCTTCCAGAGAATAAACAGCACTTCCCAGCTTATTTTATGAAGTCAGCATAACCTTGATGTTTAAATCTGTCAAAGGCTTTACAAGAAATCAAATTTACTAGTCAATCTCATTCATGGACAAAAATGCAAACATTGTAAATGAAATATAATCTAGCAAATAAGAGGATAATGCATAATGAAAAGTGAGGTTTATCCACAAATTCAACGATACTTTAAAATTGGTAAATATGTATCTCCTCCACCCCCCAAATTTTTAAAACATATCCAACACCCAGCAACTACATACTCCTAAGACTTTTACCCTAAGAAAATAATCAGACAAGGCACAGAGATATGTTTTTAAATGTGTATTATCTCATTGTTTGTAATAGCTTTTAATTGCCCATGAATATGGAATTAACTAAACAACTTATGTACATCTATCAGAATCAGTTCAACATCATAATATGGTTCTATACTTATTGTATGGGTAGCTGTTCATGACATATGACTAAATGAAAAAAGCAGGGATATTTCTAAGGCAAAACCACCAATTTTACATGAAAGTACAGAAAATTAAACATATATCATGAGAGAACATTTTATCGAGAAAATGAATTACTGTCTGAATTTAAGTTCACAAACAGAAGATATAATGCCTAACTTGGACAATTTTCTTCAGAGGAAAAAACATTTCCTTCTCTAACTCTAGCCATAGAAAATTGCCTAGTATGTATTTTATTTAGACCATAAAAAAAAGCTACTAGATTTAATCAATAGAGAATCTGCATCAGGCATAAGCAGTTATATTACGAGGACAAAAACTACCCTGAAAGCACTAACTCTGTTACAAATCAATCTGTGCTACATATATACAGCAAAAATATTGGGTTGTCGGAAAAGTCATGACGTATTTTTTCTGGTTTTCGTTGCAAAAATGCGTCATGACTTTTCCGACAACCCAACAGTTTCTGCGTTCCAAGTGGTCAAGTTTATAGGAAAAAGTTCTTTGTAAATCAAAGATATATATACAAGAGAACTCAGTTCCAAGGACCTTACAGAAAACTCCCTTTAACTTTAGCAATTAATAAGACAATCCACCTTCATTACAGCATTCCAACCCAGAGGTTACATAGTATTTTGCAGACACTTAAATGGGTTGTCATCTCCATTGTGTTAGCTCAGACCCACAGCAGTGATAGCAAGGAGCAAGGTCCTGGGAGAGAGGAAATATGCCTCAAGGGTCTGGCAAGTTTACTCAGGTATGGTGGGTGTCGGGTGAGGGCTTAGTGTGTCCATCAGGATCGCCATCAGGCCCCATTCCTCTCTTAGCACTACTTTTTACTAGCTACAGGACCTCACACAAGCTCCTTACTATCTCTGAACTTAGGCTGAGAAAGTAAAAATCAGCTCTGCTAATAATCACATGTGATATCTCTAAAAGACAAAGACAGACCAACAGGTATCAAAATTTCTCCCATGGCCTTGTTACAGCTCCAAAATGACTAAAGGGACCTGTCAGGTCCCTTCATTTCTCCTGCCTCCTAAACAAAGATAGCTGAGACATCCAATTGCTGAGCCCCTCCCACTTCATGTGTGACAGCATTCCATCCAGAATTAGCCTCCACTCTCTGTTAGAATCATCCCACACAGTCCAAAGGCTACCAGAACTTCTCCATTCCCAGGTTCCATGCTGCAGCAAGTCAGTAAACTTAACTTGTTTACTAAATGTGTGTTCCTGATGGTCTTCACCTGGTGGGCAGTAGCACTTTATCTATATACCAACTACATTTATCCAGGGTCACCAAGAGGAAAAGATGAAATGTTACCATGTAAAATGCCAAGCATCTGCCTGGCAAATACAAGTACACAACAAATATTAGCTTGTTTCCCCTATGAGTTCAAAATAAGGCTACACATGTAATTTTATTTATTTAATCATCTACGTAGTTCTTCACTATCAAGAATCTACCTCTTGCAGACAGAACATGGCTAAGAGCCAGAAAATAAGCCCCTCAAGTACACAGAACTCTAAGTAACCAAAACAGACATGATCAAGTCGGTGAAACAGTCATGCACTTTATTTAGCATAGGGTGACTCCTGAAAATCCTACTCTCACACCATTTGCTCATTTTTATTCTAATAAACTTTGAAAATCTGGTTTCCACACCCAGAGCAAATTAGAATAAGCAACTGTAAATAGTTACAGGTAGATAAGTAGGCATACTGACCAAAAAAATATATAATTGCTCAACAAGGCAGAGACAGAAAAACTATAATTTGATCAAACACAGGAACTTAAAATGCTCATAAATCTTAACTTGTCTTGTGCAATGGCTTCTAAATGTTTTTGACTGAACATCCAACTATAAAATACTTGAGCATATACCTCAAATATATGTATTTTTATAAATCATATATTTGATGTATATTATAAAACATACTAAAACAAATTTAAGATTAAAATAGTTTTAATTTTAACTATTAACGATTAACTTTAAAATATTAATTGGTTTTAATCTTGCAATTGCTAAAAAGTACTATTACTATTACCATATTTAAGCAAGAAGTTATTGAATATGCCTCTTTATTTTTTAAAATCTTGGTTTCCCCATTTGTGAAGTTCAGTGTATTTTGTCACTTGGATTTAAGAGCTGTCATAAGTCGTAATGGAAAAACTTGGCTCACAATGATGCAGATCCATATAGGAGAATATGTCACTCACTGGTTTGCTAAATCATATCACATTTCTATTCTATCAACAAATGTGCACCAGTTTTTGTTAAAAGTCAGTTCCTGATGTCCATGTTATTAAAATGTTAGTATTCCTGATGTCAGTCAGATATTTTTGCAAACTAAGTAAAATGTGTTGCTTTTTATGTTTCCAAAAAATGGGTAAGACGTCCACTGAATGAAATTCTTCGTAAGAAAGATTTTTCAACATACTGGTAATATCTAAGCATGTTTTCAAAATATTCTCTCCATAACATTAGTTCCTTCTAAAAAGCTGGCACTTTCTCACTTACTGGTTAAAATGTTGATTTCACCCTAAAAGAGACAACTTAGTCTTTGTTTTCTCAAAAACACCTGCTAGGCACCATATTATTGATAGCTTCTTGTCATTGTGGGAAAAATCAGCATCTGGAACATTCATTCATCTTTTGTAAAATAAAAATGTGTAATTCAGCTTTGAGTTCTTCAGCTTTTAAATACCTTCACAGTGAACCTCTAATCCCTGTTTAAATACAAAGTATCATAAATTCTTTTAAAAGGCATTTTAAAAAGTAACTATATCATATACTCTAACAGAAAAACTGCAAAAATTTGGAGAAACTCATGGTGCTGCTGTTGGCCTCTACATTACAGAATTCCCACACCTTCCCTCAGCTAAACACACTCATGGTAACCACCTGGATAGATAAGGACCTAGGAAAGCCTCAGAGCCAACCCATACATGATAAAAGTTTAATTCTTACTCCTTTTTGGAGCACAAATTAAACAGACAGACGTTCTAATATTTCTATTCTCACATCTCGGTTGACATTCTTCATACTTTGTAAATTACTGATCTAGTGAAGAGGGTAGCTACTACATTAGGTGCTGAGGGAATGGCTGCTGTAGCTTATAGAATGACACTTCCTTACATAGAGGAGTATTCAATGAATGCTCATTGAACTGAAATAATGATATTCAAATGATGGCTCCAAGTCACCAAAAAGAAGTTAAATTAAGCATAGCATATTACGATTAACAGGACAGTAATTCAAAATTGGTAGACTGGGATATTTTCAAAAACTTTCATTTATGCAGAAAATTTACAGATTCAGAATGACTTATTACCCAGAGATTCGTTACCATGAATTCTAGTCACTTTCATTTTTTTCCGCAGAATGAGGGAATTTTTAAAGAGCATATTTAAGAAATGTATACTTCAGTCTCCTAAAATATATTTATTTTTCCATATTATGAAAACCAGTAGAACATCATGGATAAAGTAGTACTTTATCCATTCATTTGAATAACTTCATCTTAATACTATAATCATATTTTTATATTCAAAGTAGTAATAAAGCCGACATCACAGACTTCATATTTAACACCATTAGTAGTAGTGTGGAACAATATTTACTATTTCCATAAGTAACGAAGACAGTGATGCTTTAAGAGTCAAGAAAATCACTCAACAGTTTTTAAACATCTATTCTGTTTTAGAAAGCACGACATAATAAAAACACATACATATCCATACAGCTTTGACATTGTATAAGTAGAATCTCAAATGATGACAGAAAATGGTGCACAGGAGGAAAGGTCACTGTGAGCTGGAATGAACTAAAAACGGTTGTTGTCCCAGGAGAGGAACATGAGCTGCAGAAGGATTCAGAGCTAGAAAGGAAAAGGCATTCAAAGCTGAGGGAAATAATAAAAATGTCTAATTCAGAACACCACATAGAGAAACTTTCCATTAGGGATATATAATTTATTAAACTGCTCAAGTCACACACATATATGGAAGTGGTACTTATCTACCCTTTAGTTTCATAAAACCTCCCAACTTATACTTGGAATAAGAGCTCTAGTAAGAGAAAGAAAAATGAAAAGGAGCTGTAAATAAAGAGAAAATTGGGGACACTGAATCTTAATATATTCTTTTTACAAAGTTAACAATTTTGTATTCTCTAGACCTTTATCTAGCATGCCATTTTCCCTAGTATACTCTACACCTGTCATTTTACTTTAATTTGGAAAAATGATCAAAGTTCACTTTGAAAGGAAATTCATTTTAGTAATTTCCTGTCCACCAGAGGGCTCCAATATCTCTTCCACAAGAGACATAACATAATAAAAATATACATTAAGCACCGAAAAAACTCAAATCTCATTTAACCCCAGACTAACAATTGTTACATCTGCTACAATTTCTACATTAATAGTTTAAAAAGATACAGGGCTTTTAACTGTTTAATCATTTAAAATGTTTCAAATACCAAAATTGTTTTGCCATCATTCTCACACTGATTGTTTCTCTCTTAGGTATGGTTTTCAATTTTAAAGATATCATGAAGTACAATTTTAGTCCAAAACTCTAAATAGCAACTCAAATGTTTTAGATAATACTTTTATAAATACAATTTATTTCTTAATAACTTTCCCAATCCATAAAATAAAATTAACACCCTATCTACACAGGCTTTGGCCTTTTTACTACTAGAAAGTGTAAATATTATCTTTCAGAAAACCCAGTCATTAATACAATTCACGCTACAATTATATTGCCCCATCATGACCTACGATATGGGCTGAGAAAAGAAATAAAGGAAATGGATCATTTAAATACAATGTATTATAATGATATTCTGCTCAGAAATTTTCAGATTTTTATCACAAGTAAGTTATGACACTGGAATAGTAAATCTCCTAGTTAAACTCAATCAATTTTAGCAAAAAAAGGAAAATATTTTATGTAAATACATTTATATTATTCATAGGACATATTTATAGAATGTTAATTGGACAAGTGCCAACTGCAAAGTATTTTTTTTAAATGAGTATAGTAAATCCATTCACTAGGGGTGCCACTCCCCCTCTGAAAAGATCGACTTGCTAAATTTGGGTTTTAAAAAAATAGGCTATGGTAAACACAAAAATTGAATGTGTAAAATAAATTTTAAATGTGTTATATTTACAAAACAAAAAGACGTTAAAAAATCGACTTCAAAGTGAGTCACAATCATTACCATAAGAAGATTTACCAAAAACATGGATTTAGTAATTACGGTAGCTCAAGAATTACGGTAGCTCAAGAATAAATTATCTCTAATGAAAATATGACGGGGGTTATAGCTTCACTGCCCCACCTCATCTCCCAAATAGGCTTTTCCTATACAACTGACAAGCATCATTAACAGGAAAAAGAATGCAACATTTGTTTCTAAACAGCACATACTAGCTGCCACCACTTAGAAACTTGAAAATTTTACTGCACCTAGCAAAAATGTATGTATCCATACTTGCAAGAGCACTATCCTCATCAATTTAGACTTAACGCTGCAAGGAAAATGCCAGATTGTAGAAAGAGGTGGGGGCAGGGAGGCTGAGGCTTTTCAAGATTAAGGGTGGTAAAACTGTTCTCACTTTAAGTCATGCATGTAAACGCAAATTGGTTGTCATTAGAGATATAGGAGTTTAACAATATAAAGCACTTACTGGACAACTTGTAACCAATATTCGTCATGTTACATTGCAAAAAGTTGAGACTTCTAGGAGCCTATCAAATGAAGGCACTTCTTAAGCAAAAACGTGATGGTAAGCAGCAGTAAATGAAGGTTTAAAAGGCTTTATTTAACATAGGAGGCAAAAATCTGAAGACCTCTAACAAGTTGAATAGCTAGAAAATGAGACATAAAAAATACTCAGAACAATCTCATCTGAGCTGTACCTTAGACACTCTGAAATAGCAACATCAGGGCATTATATGTTTATTACATAATACTGCTTTGCCCTTGCATATCACCTTTAATCAAGGGATCTCAAAGCACTGCAGAATCGTTAAGGCCTTAAAATACGGTCTAAAATAGAATTAGTAATATTTTATAATTGCAGCTATTAATAAAATCTTGCAACTACTTCCCGGTCCCCTGATCTGAACATTAGCTTCCAAACCTTCTCTGACTTGAAAACAGTATTCCCCAAAGCGTTTCAATTTGTGATTGATGCTACGCACATTCCAGCTTTTCTTCATCACTGGGCCTAGAGAAAGTACCGGTAATGGCATTATTTTAATGACATAAATCTATTTCATTCTAACTACGTGTTAGAATAAGCAGTGAACATATCTTGCAGCATGCAGGATGATATAAAATGGAGGCTTCATACAGAGCAAATTTTGCTGGAGGTGATGAGCCCAAGCACTTATCAAACGGAATATAACATTTTCCAACTCAGTCCTGAGACCTCTCCAGAAACTTCAAGAGAGGGGTACTGGAAACCATGGCCAGCTATCCTTAAGTGGGCAGGAGACCATTCTCCCGTGTGCACACCAGGAGGGAAGAGAAAGCTAAAAGGACAATGCATGAGTTTCAAGGCTCCGGAAGGAGAGTGTAAGGTTGCTGTGTGGCCACCCAGGAGACAGAACGTTGTGGTTCCTTTGCATTTAAATAGCACATTAAATGGGAAACCCAACAGAAGCAAAATGCCTTTAAACCAAGGTCAAAATCCTTCATTTAGTGTCATTTAATTTTTAAAATTATTTTAAAGCCTGTAAATGAGATTCGCTCCTACAGAAACATCTGACATTTTAAAATGCAATCAGCAAAGTTCAATCTGTTTTTTTGCTGAAACACAGGAAGCTCCAATGTTAATTCAATGTAAGTGAGCATAACTATTTTAACATTAATTCTTTCACAAGCAAGACGATTCGTCTTCTCGTTAATTGCACTGTTTGTCCCTAGGACTGCAAAGTGTAATTTCACACTCACACAAACCCACCTCCCAGCACTGTAAGCCTACCCGGTTACCACTGTCAGCCAACAACTCACAACACAACCTTACCCTTTATAAACAAAAAGAAAAGCGTCAATAAAGAGTACTTTTGGTTTCAAGTCTCAACATTGAAGGATCAAGGCTCAATAATGTTATCAGCTTTAAAAAGTCCAATGATGTAACACGTACCACCAATATTGGATACTAAAAGTCCTGGAATATTCATAAAAAGTACCAATACATGGTCAGCCTAGATATGTGAAAATTCCCAGACATCTTAATATTTCTGTTGCCATGCTAGTTGACTCAGACATTTCAAAAAGCTCACAGCAAATTCTCGTAGGGTTTTTCTTGAAGACGCATACCACCCTGTTCTTGCAAAGATCAAGTTTATACCTAGTGCATTAATGGTCGCGTCAGTGTCACAGGGCAAGATTCCCGTTTTCCTGTCTACGTCTGGGTCTAGCAGGGACATCCGTCCTCGGCTCTGCCCACTGTCACTGACGTTTTCCGAAGCTCTAAGATCCAAGTGGTCAGAGGCTTCTAGCAAAGAGGGAGAGATCTTATCCACTTCAAGCTTCCTTGCCACATTTTTCCGGCTTCTCCACTGTCTTTAATGATTTAAAAAACGCAACCGAAAAACAAAACCCGTACTAAAAGCAGTACTTTCTAAAAGGGGGAAACCAGCACCTCCAACTTCTCCAAATCTCCCAAAACCGTGGCTTTTCAAGTCCCCCGCAAACCTTCGCCCCGCGCCGGCATCCTTTATGATTAAATTAGATTGTAAACCACAATTAAATCAAAGGGTGTCGTAACTTATTCTTCACTCACCATATCCGCCGGGACACTACTGGACATCTTGCCGATATACACCAGATGTTCACGCAAAAAAAAAAAATACAACAAACAAAAAGGAGCAAAAGTCTTCAAGCCACACAGAAATCAGCGTTAACGATCTTGATTAGTTCGCGATGTGCTTTCCCAAAACTAAGTGATTTCCGAGCCAAAGTGCCGGCCCGGCCGAGGTTCTGTGCGGACAGGAGCGGTCCCCGGGAGCTGTGTGGCCGGGGCGGAGGGCACTCCGGGAGGGCAGCCCCGTCGTCGTCGTCGTCAGCAGCAGCAGCAGTAGCAGCCTCAGGACCCGCCGCGCCAGGTGGACCGAGCCGAGTGACACACGGGCATGGAGCGGTGGGAGGGGGTTAAATGCGCCTTCCTCCTTCGCCAGCCCGGCAGTGATTCACACCTGCTCCCGAGTCAAGTCCTCATTAAGCAGCAGGAGAATGCCCCGGCGTGGAAGTACATAGATAACTATGTAGCTACACATGGACGCGTGAGCGCTGACTGGCCGGCGCGGGGAAACGGCTCAGCTCGCGCTGCCGGGGCCGGGAGCCGGGCCGCCCGAAGCCGCGCTCAAGGGCATTTAACTCGTTGAGAGCCGAGGCCGAAGCCTGGGGCGCGCGCGGACGGCGCGGAGCTCGGGCCGGACGGGGACCCCACCGCCCCTGGGGCTCAGGCCGCGGGCGCCTCCGGGCCGCAGCGACTCTCGGGGCGCATCGTCTCCGGCTCGTCGGTGCTCCTCTCCTGCCTCCGCCTTCCCCTCCCCTCCCCGGCCTCGCAAGCTCCCCGCGACGCCGACTCCTGCCGGTCCCCGGAAGAGGCTGGTCCTCCCTCTCCTCAGCCCGGGAATGGCTTCCTCTCAGACCTCTGTCTCTCCTCCTCCTCCTCCACTTTTCAGCCCCAAACGCCGCAGCCGCCTCCTGTCATCGCCCCTCAAGCCAACATGGCGGCGGCGGCGGCAGCGGCAGCTGCCTTAGCGCGAGTCCGGGACTCGGGGAGCTCGCCCCCACCTTCACAGCCACCGCCCCCGCCCTGTCCTCCCCCGCTCGCGGGCACCATGTGCGTCACTACGGAGACCACCCTGGAGCATCACGGGAAGTGTAGTCTACTCGCTCTCCCCGGACTCCAAAGACACGCCCCTCGTAGCAACAGTTGCTAGGAAAGAAAAGCTCCTTTTCTACAAGCTGTAGCCCCAGGAGTTAGGTGTGATCAGGCAAATTATTTGGGGGAAATAACTCTGCACAAAGAAATTCTCTCATGCACAATATACTCACAGATTAAAATATAGTTTTCTTCCAAGCAGAATCATTCATTTTAATGACAGCACGCTCTCTACATCCTGCAACCTCAAACCATTTTCGATAGTGATTTCATCTAGGTCTCCTCTACATTACATCTGGAGGACCAGAAACAATCATTGATTTCCAATAAGGTCATACAAGTTCAAGAGGAACACAGATCTTATTAGGCAGGAGGAATGTTTGAACATGAGTTTCCTGAAGACCCAGACCATAAAGCTACATTCTAATTAATTAAAATTACCAAAAACTGTATTAGATACAATAGTGAATCGTGCCAAATCTACTTCAGGAAATAGCTACAACAAATTACATTGGGATTCCCCAGTTTACTGGGCCAGCCCCTAAATTCTTAGTTCATGCATGGGAAATAGATTCCTTCATAAAAAATAATGCATCACTTGGTGTGAAATGTTACTACTCATTCATTCAGCAAACAACTGTGCCAGGCACTGCTAGGCACCAGGAGTTTAAAATGAGTAATCCGGGCACTGTCTACACGGAACCCGCTATCTGGGAGCCTGTCATTCCCCACACCAATCTCCACTCTGGTTTGTCTCATCAGGATGGAAACTCACAGAATGTGTAGAGTGCCTGCCTCCTGAGTAGCCTTGGCAAGTTCCAAGCACAGCTGGGGGCTACATCATCCAGTGGTGAGTTACAGTGGTAACTAGGGAGAAGCAGGATAGCTCAGATTCCCAGAGAAACCAAAGGACAAGAAGAAAAAGTCTCAAACCTCACCATGAATAGGCCTCAGGACTTTGTCTAGATGCTTCCGAGTCTATAGCTACATGATTTTCCATGGTCTTGGTACCTGGTGGATCATTCTCCATGTTTATGTACCACACAGCCCCCTCCCCAGTCCTCCAGGAGACAAGGGCAGTTGAAAATGCTTTAACTGAACAATGAGTTCTAAAAGAATATTGGAACACGTTTTGAAGGCTTTAAATTAGTCCCTCACCCCAACTTTCATCCAACAACTGCCCTGGCCGAGATTGTGCAGGGCCCATATGCTACTGTAAGTAGAAAGGCAAGAAACATAAAATGGCAGGACTCATGGAAGCCTCAACTCATACCTCTTCTGCTTTCCAACAGCCGTATGGCAAGGGGGTAACGACCGCAAAGGCCAGTCTACGACCTTGGCATCTCTGACACATGGTATTGCTGTTTGCTGCCTGCTACCCTTGCCTCACTATAAAAGACCACATGTCTGAAAAGTAAAGTCACTGAACCTAGCTGTGTTTCCAGTCACTCTCCTAAGACAGACTGAGACGTTACAGTCAATAAAACTCGTACCTCTTCCCTCAGAGTTAGGACATGGGAGTGTTACACAGTTGCAGATGCTCCTCTCTCCCCTCTTTACTCTCTGTTTCCAGACTCTGGTGAGATGGCAGGTGAGATGGGAGGCTGGAGAAAGAGCCCAGTTGTCCACAGTGGAGAAGAGTAGCATCTTCCTGATCCCATTAATCTAATGTCAGCATCCATTTGAAGGAAGCAAGGAATGCAACATTTTTGTATTAGGGAAAATAACTTCACGGGAAATCAAAAGATCTGGCTCTGTTACGAATCAGCTGTGTTACCTTTGCCAAGGCACTGTTCCCTGAGCCTCCATTCCTTTATCTGAGGAGGTTGAACTAAATCTCTAAGGTCTATGAGTGTCAGGTCCCAGAAGACTAGCACATGACACCCATGGCCTGTTAAAAATATCTCCCCAAAGTGACTGCTCATGGGTATAAGGGGTTTTTTTGAAGGGGAGGGGCGATGAAAATGTCCTAAAATTAGGTTAAGGCGGTGGTTGCACAATTCCATAAGTATACTAAAAATCATTGAATTGTATACTTTAAATGGGTGAATTTGTTGGTTAGTTTTAAATTATGGTAAAATATACACAATATAAAATTTACCATCTTACACTTTTTTACGTGCACAATTCAATGGCATCATTAGGAAGAGAACATATGGGCCAAGACCCAGACTTGAGGCCAAGAGGTGCAGGGCGGGGAGGTGGTGGAAGCTCAGAGTGCTGCATGGGAGTGGGGCAGGGGTAGGATAAGCAAAGGGCAGGAGGGAAAAACTGGCGGCCAATCACCAAGGGCTCTGCCATGTGGGCTCAGCTGTTTGCATTTACTCTGACAGCAAATGGGAGCCACTAAAGGTTTTAAAGTGGGGGGTGTTATGTTAAGGTTTGTTTTTATAGAACAATGGAAAAAGTTATCTGAACTTCAGTAGTACCTTGTGTCTGTATTTTGGGGATTCATTGTCATGTGTGTGACCTCTTGGACGCTCATAGTTTAGAGGTCTTGGAGATGATCAAACCTCAGCTCTTCATTTTACAAATCAGGAAGCCACCAGGCTCATGGGAGACCAGGCTGGCTCCTAAGACAGGCTTGTTCCACTCCTCCCTCCTCTGCGAACCAAGTTCTACAAAAACATGAGGAGGGCTTTTACTGCATTATGTATATTCAACCTAATATGTATTCTCTATTTTTAAAGTAAAGAATAAAATGAAGAGTATAGAAATTCTGGAAACTAGAAAAACTATTTTTGTTTCTTGCATATATTCTTCCAGGTTTCTGTGTACATGATTTCACATATTTATGGAATACATACATTTTTCTTTTAAATATTAAATCAAAATTCAGTTTTGAAATATTAAAATTTGCACGTTTACAAATGGCTACGTAATCTTCTACTCCTCCTTGTTAAAGGCTGCATACCATTCCACTGCACCAGTGTCCTACGATTCATGAAATCATTTTCCACTTGGAGGACAAACAGATTGTTTGAATTATACCCTCTTGGTGCATATAAATCTTTCTGCACTTTGAATTACTTGTTTGAGCCAAAGTCCAGAGACTGTTGTCACTGAGTCAAAGTTTGTGAATGTTTCTGTGGCTCTGGAACTGCACAGGAAGTTATTTTCCAAAAGGGTTTCACTGTTTAGAATGCTGCCTATGAATGAGAATGCCAACTTGAGCACCCCACCCCAGCCCTCATATTTATGTACAGCTGTATCTACATGTTTATAATATGTACATACACCCTGGATTCAGTAGCAGTGCACATCCGATAATCTCATCAACTCTTCTCTCCAAGTAAAGAGACCATCCAAGTAAAAACAAGTGTTGGCTATGCAAACACAGCTTCAGCAACACACCTACATCTAACACATACATGCACACGCGTGCGCACACTCACTCGCTCCAACCAGATAGGAAACCCCTCATATTTAGAAATGTTGGAGCTGTCCCTGCCTATGTATACTTATTTTTTTAGGTTTCTTTAAAAAAACCTGTACTTTGTAGTTGTTCATTTTGCATTTTGATGATTTCTATTAGATGGAGTCTTTTTCTGTGCATAAGAAATAAACAATTTTGAGGGGCTGACCCTGAGCAAGTAGAAATGAGGCAGCAAGCACAGTACGGTCGGGGCCAGTATGCGGCTAAACCCCGGAGGTCTGCCTGGCACGCTGCTGGGGTGTCCCCCAAGTAGGGGGGTACGTGCTCGCTCCCCCTGGGCATGGGCCCAAAATGCTGGCAGTGCAAGCACAACAGCAGCCCTTCCTCATTCTCCCGCTGGTTCCCCTAGAAGACCACTCATTTGGGAGTTTGTTCTTGGACTCTAGGCTCACTGTCATGACCCTGGAGTTTTAAGGGCCTTTGTATCCCCAGTGAATGAATAGCATAGTGAATGAATAACACCCAAGAAACCTTGTCAAAAAGTACATTGAAGAGATGAGCATTTTAGGGCCGGCCGAGTGGCGCGATGGTTAAGAACTCGCTTGGGACGCCAGAGGGCCCCGGTTCGGATCCCACATATGAGGGCCAGTGACACTGCCCTCCACAGCTAAGATGCTGAACAACAGCTCAACCTGGAGCTGGGCTGCTGTTGAGTCGCCAGCGATGGCATAGGCTGCAGTCCCGGTGGCAGTGGGTTGCCATGGGCTGCCGTGAGCGGCCAGCAGCCAGCGTGAGCGGCCAGCAGCCGCAGTGAGCGGCCGTCCAGAAGCCGGCGACTGATCTGCCTCACCGGGGAAGAGCGCAATGATGGTGCCAACTTGGGCCAGTGAAGCAACATCCTCCACAACTAGATTGAAGAACAAAACGACAGCAACTTGTCTGTTCCCCCTCCCCCAATTCCCCAGCACTGTTCCCATCCCCCAATTCCCCAATTAAAAAAAAAATCTTTAAAAAAAAAATCTTTAAAAAAAAAAAGAGATGAGCATTTTAAATTCTCTTCCCAGGTCTGTGATTCTGTAAAATCAGGGATTACCTTTTAATGTTATCTTTAGACCTAGAGGTGTGGCTCATTAACACAGAAATGATGTTTGAGGCTTAGCTCAGTTGCTCTCCCATGACTAAGAGAATATGCCAACAGAAAGGAAAACAATTTTTGTGTGAAGGCTGGAGTTCTCTTTTGAAAAAATGGGAGTTATGTTTTTTAATTGGTAACACGATTTCAGCAAAGTTTTGTAAACATTCAACAATGTGAGTTGCACAGTCTAACTTCATAGGCCACCAGAAAAGTAATGCTCGTGTTTGTCTCCTGCTGATGTCCCACAATACCTTTCTCCCTGACCTGATCCCACTTTTATCCACACTATTGAATTAGCCAATGCTCAAGCTGGAAGAAAACTTAGGGATGATATCATATCCATTTTTTGAACAAATGAGGAAATAGAAACTTCTTGAGAAAAAGTTACATTTTCTCT